ATGCCCATGTGTCTTCCTACACAATTATTTGTGGAGTGAAGAGAAACCCCTATCCTCTTGCAACCACTCAACCAAAGCAATAGAGAGAGAGTTCTAGGAAAGCTTCTCACCAAGCTTAAGCTAGGAGAACGCAAGAAGGAAAGGAAATCAAACACAAAAAGGCTAGAAATTGAGGTAAGAATCTAACTAGTATTCATTGACTAGTTTAATATTGTATGATTTTCAAGAAATAATATGGTGGATTAAACATGAAGTTCTACACGTTTAAAAGTGTAGAATATTGATATAAAGTGGTGGTATTTAACTTAGAAGAGTTGGTGAATTGATAGGAGTCGAAATCGCCGGAAACCGCCAAGAAAAGGAGGTGGCCCCAAGCTGCAGTGCACGAACACCGCCCGACTTTCACGAAAGCCGCCCGGCTTTTGGTTGGCAGTCCAGTTTTCCACTTTCAATCGGCCTAGAACGGGGATTGATCGAGGGGCATAACAAAGGCAACTATTGTAGCATATCACGAGGTGAGGATGGCTGACTACATTGCTTATAATTGTTGGGTTAATTTCATAAGATTACCTAAAGTATTAAATGTGATTTTCATGGATTATTAATGATTAATAATGCCTAAATGAAAATACTATTGCATATGAGCAAATGAAGCATGATATACAAATTTAGAGAAATTGTGTATGATTATGTGTCATGAATATGATGGCATGATAGTAGGAATTTACTTTCAAATATTGTGATAAAATATACTTTTACTTCATGTAAAGAATTCATGAATGGATAAAAGGGATATTTTTTATATTGAGATTAAATCATATTTGGATCGGAAAATCATTAGAAATGAATCATTGGACTATGAATTATGAACTTGGTTGTTCTAAGATTATCCCACTAGTATTAAAATACTAGTCGGGAGATTGATATGAATAATGATGGAATTAATCCTAAGAGATTGAATTGTGAATAGTGATGCCTTAAGTAGTCTTAAGAGATACATTAAGGTCGAATTGTGTGAGCTCTAAAATATGTTAGGGGTAGGCCTTAAAGGCTACTTCAAGTGAATGGATTCTAGGCATAAGATTTGCTTGAGAATTGGATTATGATAATAAATTAGAGTCGGACCCTAGGATTATATGGAAATGTAGTTGGGCCGAACCCTTGCCATGTAATCGTGATTAGCATGGAAACGTAGTTTGGCCGACCCTTGCCATGTATTTGTGATCTTCATGGAAACGAAGTTGGGCCGCGCCCTTGCCATGAAATTGTGGGTTGTATGGAAAGGTAGTTGGGCCGGGCCCTTGCCATGCAATCGCGACTTGCTGAATTGAGTTAAAGGATTATATAGAAATGTAGTTGGGCCGAGCCCTTGCTATGCAATCGGGGCTTGATGAAACCCTATGGGGTTGTCGTGGCTTGAGGTCACGGGGAATGGAAATGGTAAATTCTAAACAAATATGGGCCCACGGGCCGTCTCTTTGACTTTATATAAAGTAAGTATGTTTTCAAACAGGGTAACCGAGGGTTATGGCCTATAATATAATACCACCCTAGATTGAGGGTCTTAGAAAGTGAAACATTGATTATATTCAGTGTAGTTGTCATTGTACTTTTCAAATGCTTCAAAGTATTGACCTCCCCTTCACGGGGAGGCCACCTCACAGTTTCAGGTAGAAGTTGAAGCTTGCTACCGACGCCCGTTGCTCGGGGATATCTAGGAGAAAAAATGTGGTTCGTGCTTCCTCTGTTTCTGTTTTGAAAACAATTATATAAATGCTCATGGATATTAATTTTCTGAATAAATGTTTGGGGGCTTATATGCCTAAGTTTGCCAAATGTGGCTTGAACACTTGTAATATTGTTTCCGCTGCTTTTATGAATATTTTAAATTATGTTTGTTTATGGATGTACTACGTGTGAATGATATTCCAGACGCCTTGTATAGTATGGATGTGTTGGACTGCGGTTGACTATTCGTATTTTACGGCGGGTTGTTGACGTGCCCGGGTGGGTCTGAGGCGTGACATACTCAGACTCCGACGCAATGGCTAGAGACCCAAATATGTTTTGGGAATTTGAAGAAGACATGATAACATCCTCGAGATTCAAGACTAAAGATCTAAATCAAGTTTCTCCTAAACACTAGATATACTAATCTAGAAGAAAAGTATAAAGAAAAATGTGAAGAACAGATGAAGAGCTAGCCTTGAAGATTTGAAGGAGTGAAGAACACTTTATCTGTCTAAAAATCAGCAGGACTTCGTTACAAATCAAAAGCAAGAGTGAGGAATGTCTCCCTAGAGTTAAGGTATTTATGGTGACTCCCCCCATGGGACACTACACGTGTCAAGTTCTCAGTGGTCACATGAGCGGTCGCCAAAATCCCATCCACTCAGCAGGTGCCACCTGACTCCCACTGCCACACCAAGGCACGCGACGACTTACGTACTGACACCTCGGCCCTTAAGCACAAACACACGCCGGCTAGAGGAATTTTACATCATGACAGCAGTCCTCATATCAGAGTAAAGCTCCAATGACATACACCACTTCTCGGCCACCGTAGAGGCATGTCACACCTCCCTACAACCTCAACTAGGTGACAAAAATCTTCCCTCGACCTCATAAAAGGGGGAGAGATTCTTTAAGGGAGAAACACACCTCAAACAAAGCTTGTCGGTGATAATCTTCGGCTAGCGACATTTGCCTTAGGATTCTCCCACAAGGTTGTCTTGGTCAGGGTTCACCAGAAAGGTCTAATCCATGGGCCCATTCACAGGTTGCACCTCGGCTTCAAACACATCGCCTACCCCTCAACCCGACATTACTCTTTGCTTGAAGGAGTGGGGGGACTCCGCCTTAGACAAGAACCAACAAATTTATAAAAATTATTCACCACAAGAAAAGGGAACACCAGATACAAGCAGACACGCCTCGGCCACAAACAAAAGGTTCAAAAACAGGTGCACCGCAAAGACAAAGACACCTAACCTAGGATGCTTTCACAGGGTTGCCTCGACCAGGTTCGGAAAAATGAAAATCATCAAGCCACAAGAAACAGAAACATGTCGGTTAGGAAACTCAACATCTCCTCGACCAAGCACAAATGCAACCTTCAAAAGCACTACACATAAATGATCTATTCCCTCTCACCCCGACACCTCTCGACTGAGAGAGTAGGGGGACTCCTGATAGAGTATACGGGCCTGGACCCATGACCCACACTTTCATAAATACACGAACAAGACTACAAACACTTGAACTACCCCTCAGCTTGGCACCCTCGTCCATATGAGGTCACCCACACAGAAGAGTCCCAGAAGATGGAGATTGAAGCCATGGGTCAAGAATGTTCACCACGACCTGTCCCCCCTCGACCTGGCTACCTCGGCCTAGCCACCTCAGCTATGACTTCTAGCAGAAAATTTCCACTTTTGTACTCAACAGGGTAATTGTGTGTAAACAACCCCAAAGCGGCCCATCATTGTAAACAAGCCACTAAGCGCTAGCTGCAAAGTAGGTTGGCAGATAGTTGTGATTATGGTCAGGAAAATGAAATATTCTGAACTGGGAGCTCCTGATTTAGTTGATTCATTACTTGGTCAATAACGGCTAAGACATATGAGAGAACTCCTATCGTTCGATATATAGCTTTATAAACAGCAATCTTGTCAAGGAAAAAAATAATGAAAATGTTGTAGTAAATTAGCTTTATCGGTCTCTTCCACCTATTAGCTTTATAAACAGCAAACCCGTTTTGAATGGTTCAATTTTACAAAAATACTAATGAGGATTCTCAAACTATGCAAGCTATGTTCAACCAGATATTGATAACGATTTGCTTTATTGGATGCGGATGGTGATGCCAGGAATAATGATGTCTAGCGTGTACAAATAAAAATGTTGTATGATTATAGTGTAGATTTATAGCATATTGTAATACACTATTGATATTGACACTGTAAAATAATTTGAGTAATAAATACAAATGTTGATATTTTATTTTGATTAGTTATTGTTATTTCTAAAATCTTTCATAGGATCAGTAACAAATAATATAATGATTATTATAATATTATTATTATCATATATTATCAGTAACAATATAATGATAGTATATGACATCAATGTGTCAAATTTTTTATGACACCAATGTGTCACAAATTCTTATGATACCAATGTGTCATAATCTTGTATCACATTAATGTGTCACAATTTACTAACACTCTTATGTTTTACGATCAGTGACACTATATTTAGTGTCACTAGCCGCCACTTTTCCCGACGCTTTTTTAGTGTCACAGAAACTTTCAGTGACACTAAAATAGTGTCACCATAAGCACTTTTTCTACTAGTGCAGGCACATATTTAAAGTCTGTTTGGTGTGTCAAAATAGATTGATTAGCTTTCAAAAGATTTTTGAAACACCAAATACCACCACAATCGATTAATATAACTGATTAGAGTTTTAAGTAATTACATATTCAATGATTCATAGTCTGAATAAATCACTAATCACTCTTTGTTCAACCATTTCAGCACATCATTTAACCATATCAACTTATTAAACCATTTCAACATTCACCAAACAAAGCCTTAACCATATCTTGCAATTGGGATAATCATTATAACCATTTCAACAGTCAGCAACTGATCAAACTTTTTAGATGTGTAATTCCACTTTTGTTCTACGAGTATCAAACCAATTTCGTAATTGTTCACGTCTTTTACTTTGACCACTTTTGATACATGACTATTGTGTTTTCGCTCATATGTGGCCCTTCCGTCAATATTTTTGGTGATTACAATCGACGAAAATGGACAATAAATTGTCAAGAAAAATTAGTTAAGGTCAAAAGCGAACAAAATGAAAAAAATGAACTAAATGTGGAATTGACACAAAACTTATGGAATACTCATGATAATATTAATATTCTTGGTTGTGATGAAATTCAAACATGTAACCTTGTCGAAGAATAGTGATGCCATATCAGCATAATTTATGTACTTTTTTTTGCAATTATAATTTATGTACTTATGTACTTATGTACTTATGAATGAGGATGCTGTAATAAAAATATATGGGCTACAAACAAAATGGGGGAAAGTTGCAATTTTCCTAAAATTTAATGACCCAGTGAAATGCTGAGCTTACTTGTTAAGAGGCCCATCATAGCCTACAAGATGGAGTAGGGTTCGCCCAGATGCGCAAACGCCTTACCGTCATTCTGAATCGAGTGCCTATAGACTTTGCTGCCTTCTCCTTTCAGGTATCACCGTTTTTGTGCTCCTTTATCACGGCTTTCTCTTTTCCTTCGCCGTAGTTGACACCCTAATCCGGCGGATCTGTGCAGTAATTGCGGAAAAATGTCGGTCGGAGAAATCGCTTGCACCTACGCCACTCTGATCCTCCACGAGGAAGGCATCCCCGTCACCGTAACTCTCCGATCACCTCTGCGGATCTCATTATACAAGTACTCTATCCGTTTCCTTTTCCTCCAATTACTGGTCAATAGTAAACATTTGTGGTTATGCAGGCGGAGAAGATCGCTACGATCGTGAAGGCGGCCGACGTTCAGGTGGAGTCCTACTGGTTTAGCCTCTTCGCCAAGCTTTGTGAGAAGAAGAACATCGATGACCTCATCATGAACGTAGGTGGCGGCGGTGGTGGTCCTGCGGTTGCCGTTGCTGCCCCGACTGCTGGTGGTGCCGCTCCCGCTGCTGCTCCGGCCGCTGAAGAGAAGAAGGTGAGGATACCTGTGAATTACCTGGCAGTTATTTAGTTAATAAATTTATGTATCATGTTATTTATTTCCGAAAGTGCCTTACTTTTGTAGAGATCCTCTATGATTTATGTGTTTACTAAGCGAGTAAATGCTTATTTTTTCAGGTCGTCGTTGAGGAAGAGAGTGATGAGGAGATGGGGCTGGGCTTGTTTGATGACTAGAGTCTAAAGTTTCTTTGAAATGTTAGCTTTTGGTTTGCAGACATTTTTGATAAGTTTATCATACTCATCTCGTAGAGAGAATTTATGAACCCCATCATGGTTGAATTTTCTATTAATATATCAATGAGTCTATATTTTAATGCCCAACTCTGATTGTTTTCAGTTTTTCTCTGGTAATGCAAATCGCCAAACACGTTGTTATATATCCTTTCTGTTGTGTTCCTAGCTGGTGGCCTGTGGCTTGATATTGGTGTTTGATGGTTTTGACTTGGGCATTGATACATAGAGTAATATGATCAACGTTCAAATCTCGGAGATGCATCGTTTCAAGTATTTGTTGGAATTAGAACTTTGTTTTGTGTTTATACTCTATACACTCATCAATACATTGGGTAATACGATCAATGCTTAAATTTGGGAGATGCATTGATGCAAGTTTCTGTTGTGGTTAGTGAACCTTAATATGAATTTGTCAATTGTTATTTCTTCTGTGTTCCTAGCTGGTGGCATGTGGCTTGATATTGTAGTTTATTTCCTTGTGGTGTTTGATGATTTTTTTTTGGGCATCGATGCATTGGGAACCTTGTTACGCGTTTATATTCTCTATACACTTGAAGAGTAGTTTGTGTATCCTACAATTTGCAAAACACTTGAAGAATGCCATTCTGAAATATATCATGGTTTTGATCAGTAGTTGTTCTTATTGTCCAAACTGAGCGTTTTTTATATGGTTTGAATCCTATTTTGTTTTGGAAGAAGATAATATTACTAAGATTTATTACCGCCTACAATGTATAAAAATAAACGTTACAGATACCACCTTGGAAAATTCTTATTTCCATTGTTCAAACATTTTGGAATAAAAAATGTCATGTTTATAGTATAAATAGTTAAATACAATCGTGATTCAAATCACAATTGCTAAGTGTTTCCATTAATACTCTGTAATAAGTAGGGATGGATTCGGTTCGGGCCACCTGGCCCGTGACCCGGCCTGGCCCGGTACTGTGCGGGCCCGGGACCGGCCCGGTCGGGCGGTCTGGGACCGGGTATGGACCCGAACCGATGGGAAGGGGCGGGGCGGGCTCGGTTCTGGTTTTTTGTGACCCGGCCGGGTCGGGGCCGGGCCCGGGCCCGGGTCTATTTTTAATTTTTTTTTTTTTGGTTTGGGCTCCTACTAGCCGTTGGGGGTGGGGCTGGGGACAACCCAAACGGCTATATAGCCGTTGGGTGGGGTAAAAGGGGGTCCGGGGGGTTGGCTGGTGGGGGGGTGGTGGGGGGGGGTGGGGGGTAAAAAAACCTATAAATACTCCTAAACTTAAACATTTTTTCATATCTCTTCTCCAATTCTTCCTAAATTCTATTCTTAACTCTCTACTCTCTAATTCTCTTATTCTCCATTCTCCAATATATTATATTTATTATTTATAGTTTATATTAATTATCTGCTTATATAAACTATAAATAGATATAAATAGTATTATATTACTTATATTTGTTATCTAATTATATACTTCGTATTACTTATATATTTATTATATCTATTAATATAGTTGGAATTATATCTAATTAATTTGAAGTCATTCTATTACTCCCATCCAAAAGACCGAAAGTCCGAAAGAGGTACGAAATTATTCTATTATTTACACTTGTTTAATTACTAGTTAATTTGCTACATTTGACTCTTGTTTAATAGTTAGATAAATAGTTAATTAGTTTTTTACAATTTTTTATTAATTGCTACATTTGACTCTAGTTTAAAAAATATGTTGTACACAAAACTAGTTAATTCACTACTTAATTTGCTATAACTCGAATTAATAGTTAGATAAATAGTTAATTAGTTTTTTACAATTTTTTATTAATTGCTACATTTGACTCTAATTTAAAAAATATGTTGTACACAAAACTAGTTAATTCACTACTTAATTTGCTATAACTCGAATTAATAGTTAGATAAATAGTTAATTAGTTTTTTACAATTTTTTATTAATTGCTACATTTGACTCTAGTTTAAAAAATATGTTGTACACAAAACTAGTTAATTCACTACTTAATTTGCTATAACTCGAATTAATAGTTAGATAAATAGTTAATTAGTTTTTTACAATTTTTTATTAATTGCTACATTTGACTCTAGTTTAAAAAATATGTTGTACACAAAACTACTTAATTCACTACTTAATTTGCTATAACTCGAATTAATAGTTAGATAAATAGTTAATTAGTTTTTTACAATTTTTTATTAATTGCTAAATTTGACTCTAGTTTAAAAAATATGTTGTACACAAAACTAGTTAATTCACTACTTAATTTGCTATAACTCGAATTAATAGTTAGATAAATAGTTAATTAGTTTTTTACAATTTTTTATTAATCGCTACATTTTTTAGATGGATCGTCCTAGATATTCGGTTGATATGAGTAACCTCGAGCGCAACCAAACGAAAGAGCTTGCGAGGAAGAGATCCCGCAAAGGTAAATCACATATCGGCTCTTCATCTCAAAGTCAAGATGATTTTGATACGGGTTACGTAAGGAGGGATGGGGATGCGATGACCGACGAACAACTAGAACAAGAATTGCACCGACATAATTCCCGCTTTTTTCAAGACCAACCGAGGACCATTGACGAAGAAGAGCTCGAGGACGAGGACGACGATGTGGAGGAAGCAATTCCGGAGAGCCACGACGACGAGGAGGAGGAGGGTGGCGGCAGCCATGACGCCGACCAAGCAGCCTCATCCCAAACAGGTACAAAAAAAGTAAATCTGAATTAATGGCTAATAATTTTTCTAAGTGGAAGGACCCGAACACCGGGAATTGGACCGCAACTTGCAATTGGTGCAAGAAAAACCATAGCTTGGGGATTTTCGGCGGATACGGATCCGCCACAAGACACCTTAAGTCCAAACACCCGGTGGAGTATGCAAAATTAGGCGGCGGAACGGGGAAACAAACGCAAATATCGAGGTTTGCAAATAACCAACAAGCTTTTGGTAATTTCTCATACAATGATGCACAAAATTTGACAGGTATGGCTAACTTACTTGTTGAAGAAAATTTGCCTTATTTGTTTTCTGAAAGTCTTGCTTTTCGTGATTATGCACAAACTTGTTTAAATCTGCAATATAGAGGTTATAGTCGCAAAACGGTTAAGAAAGAAATTTCAAGGCTTTATGGTGCGGAAAAGGTAAGGTTACAAAATTATTTTGCAAACTTTGATGGACGTGTTACTGTATGTTCTGACATATGGGAGGATACTTATCATAATTTATATTATTTGGGTCTGACTGTACATTATATTGATAATGATTGGCATATGCATAAACGTGTTCTTGCTTTCCGTGAATTTAATGATCGTCACACCGCTGAACATATTTATATTTTGATTGAACGTATTTTAATTGAGTATAATTTAATTGATAAGGTGTTTGCTATTGGTTTTGATAATGCTACTAATAATACTGCTGCTATTCCTAGATTGCGTGAATTGTGTGGTTCTACTTCTTTGATGGGTAGATTTTTTCATCAACGATGTGCATGTCATGTTCTAAATTTATGTGTGCAAGATGGTCTAAAAGCGTTGGGAGCATCGTTGGAGGTAGTCAAGGGGGGGATTAGACGTATTTGGGGTAATGGACACCTTAGCAAAAAATGACATGATTATTTGATAGAAAGAGGTGAGAGATATGTGGCTTTTCCAAAAGATTTGTCTATTCGTTGGAATAGTACCTATAAGTTAATTGGAGTTCTTCTTAGATATAAACAACATTTTCCTGCTTTTATGAAACAATATGATAACTATATTATAAACTCGGCTGGGATCGACAACTGTGAAAAAATTTGTAATGCTTTGATATATTTTAATAATGCAACTGAAACTTTTAGTCATGTTTATAAACCTACCTCAAACCAATTTATTCGTGAAGCTGTTAATCTCGCCGGTGCTTTTTCAAATTTTGAGAATGCTGATTATGTGAGTTATTTTGCTGGTTTTATGAAGGAAAAGTTTTTAAAATATTATTCACATATTCCGCATATTTATGGTATTGCATTTGTTCTCGATCCTCGTTTTAGACTTGGTTCTTTAGAAGAATGTTTGAATTATTATTATGCTGCTTTTTTTTGGTCCATTGCCAATGTATGAGGACAACCCAATTGATCCGAAAAAAGAATACAACGAGGTTAGTGATATATTTTATGCATTATTCAATGAGTTTCATGCACAAAATGGCAATGCGCCCCCTCCCCCGACACAAACATCATCTAAAGGAAAATCAATTTTCAAATCTACGTTTACCAATCTTATTAAAAAACAAAATCAACTCCCGCTACACAACAAAGCACAATTAATGAGATTTCTTTGTATTTAACTTATGATGTTGATTTTGAAGAAGATGATGATTTTGACGTACTAAACTGGTGGAAGGGAAAAGAAAGAATGTTCCCGGTTTTAGCAAAGATGGCTAAGCAAGTGCTATCAATGCCGGTTTCAACGGTTGCCGTGGAACAAGAATTTAGTTCGGTCGGCAATGTTCTAACACAAATCAGAACGAGGTTGAGCGCTGAATCTCTTGAGATGCTTATATGCTACCACGATTGGTTGAAAGCAGCACGTAGAACTCTACCTATGCCGGAGATTCCGATTAAAAACAATTATAGTTCCTATTTAATTTTCAAATGTAGTTCCTATTTCATTTCAAATAAATGCACTTGAAGTTTGTTTTTTAATACTTGTATAAACTATAAAGTATAAAATATAAATTAAAAAAAAAAAATATTTAACCGGCCCGGCCCGGCCCGGCGGGTGGCCCGCCCCGTGACCCGGGCGGGTGGCCCGGCCCGAACCGGACCCGTCCAACCCTCGGGCCGGTCCCGGGCCCATCTGATACGAACCGGCGGCCCGACCGGGCCTAGGCCCGGGCCCGACCCGGCCCGAATCCATCCCTAGTAATAAGTAGAGATGTAGAGTATTTTTATGAAACCCCGTATTATAACATGTGGAATTTCACTGATAAAATTTAATAAGCTAATAAAAGGAAATGTGTATGGACATTTCATTGTAGACTATTAAATGTAAAATTCAGAGCCCAAGATGATATGTTTTTTATGAAAACTCAATCTCCTTTATTAAATGCTCTTCAAGAATTATACTACTCCGTGTATCCGTACCACACAATAGTTCTTACTTTGCTTTTTGGATTGTCCCAAGAAATAGCTTTCATTTCCATTTTTTAAAAAGTTTTGTACGATTACCATTATTTACTTTTTTCTTATTCAACATTAACCATATATTTTTCACTTTATTTCAGTTTTCTTAAACTTCAATTCAAATCAAAGTGGGAACTATTTTATGAGACGGAGAGAGTAGCATGTAAACTGAAAACATCTTGTCTAAATTCTGATGCATTACGTATGCATATAATGATCTAATCCAAATTAAATGGTTATTTAGCTTCAGAGCTTCTAAACCATTCCACTAATCTGATCTCTTTCAACCCGTCATAATAGGCGGGAAATGACATGCTTTCTCGTCTTTGTATAGAGTTAGATTAGATATAATAATAATTAAATATTATGTTAATCTACGACATGTTAATTTTTTTACTCAATTCAGTAATTTAGCTGAAACAAATAACTCTAGACCAATCCAATATAGAAAATAAACCTCGCATCAAAAATTAAATTCTCCCTATAATAAACAAACCTAAAAACCTTAGTGCTAGAGTTTGAGTCACTTTTCTTACACTTTTTTCTTTTCCTTCTTCTTTCAGTAATTTTCTTTTATTCATTGGTTGATGAATGATGACCAATCTCATTGATTTGTCCTTCATTCTCTATATATTGAAAGTGATATCTTGCTCTAATCTCATCAACAAAATGACTCTGAATTGATTTGTCATTCAAGCTTTAATTTTAAACATTTTGATAATCAACATGGGTGCTCGGGCCAAGTCTTAAGAGATTCCATATTCAATAATTATTAGTGGTGGTGTATCAAGTAATTTGTTTTATACCTTTATTCAATTGCCGAAATCAAGGAAACAATATTTTTCATATTCAAAAAATGATAATTTTGGGATTGTTTTCGAAAAATAAATGTTTGCAAAGATGGGCTTTGACTGTGTATATATAGGTTAAATTCAAGAATAAGTATGCACTTGGTTTTTCATTCTTTCATATTTTTATAGGGAAAAATAATTAAAATACCCCAAACTTTGAAGGGGTGTGAGATGAACACCTCAAACTTGTATATGAAATAAAAATACCCCAAACTTTGTATAAAAAGTTATTTTAGAACCATAATCAAGTATTGTTTTATTCAAAAATGTAAATTTATTATGTTGATTGTATAATTTAAAATATTTTAGAAATCAGACACAATCAACATTCTAAACTTTCATTGCAAAATAAATAATGTTACCCCTAATCTATATAATTGCAACACTTTTAATTTGTTATTTTAAATAATGCAATTAACCCCATAAATTTACATTTTTGAAAAAATAATATATAACGATGGTGCAAAAGTAACTTTTTATATAAAGTTTGGGGTATTTAAATTACATATGCAAGTTTGGGGTGTTTACTTCACACCCTTTCAAAGTTTGGGGTATTTTTATTATTTTCCCTATTTTTATAACATTCAAAAGTATGGTATTTTAAAATATTTTAGACAGATGTAGGCATGTATATGTAAGTACATGTATCATATACGCAGTTTTCTGATTAGGCTCATTGGAATTCAAAATTTTCCTTAACAAAAATAAAATACATGGAGTAAATTTAATAATAGTTTTGTATACAACCACATTTAATTTATGAAATCTGCAAAATATATGTAAATAATGTCATCTTCACACCTGCTTTTCTAACAAAAATATTCTAAAACATTTCCAATTGATAGGCAATACATTACACATGCGGAGTAATAAGGTATCACCCTTACCAGCCAATTATCAGCCAATAGATGGGAATGAACCCTTCAACTAAATTAGAACTTAGAACATGGTCACAGTAGATGAAATTCCATATTTTGATTCAGATATATAGATATTATTATTGCTTTCAAGAATAGGAAAAGAAATGATTTACTTTCAATAATACATTCTTAGCGAGGTCAAAAACTCTCTACAACAACAATTTTATGACAAATACCTCCCCGGTTCCCTCTCCGTTTGTGAGGCCCTTCCTTCTTGAAAATGGGAGAAGTCCAAATAATTTTAACATGATCAACCACGCCCAACTGTCTAAGCCTTCCTCACCGGTCAAAATAGAACTCCTGCATCTTAAATCTGGAAACAATGCTAAAAGCATGCCTTGTATTCCCGGAGAAGCTTGCAACCAAGGTCGCTAGATGGAGCCTCCCGACAAGCTGGTGAAGTCATCCTCGAAAGTGTTGATGCAGCCATCCCTCATTTCGCTGAGTGTCTCCATCGAGAGTTAGGTTCATCTCTGTCGGACGTTTCCCGGCGTAGTAGAAATCAGTCCGACCTCGCAGCCTCTTGGATCTGGTCACAATCCACTGTCCACATGCACCAACCCTAAGGTTTCTCCTTTCAGTCGTCCGGGTTTCACCATCACTTGTATCGAATTGGAGGCTAGGCCCCGTCATCGAAAGTGGTGAGGCCACTTCAGCGTAGGGTGGAGTTTCCCTCTTGGTTAGGCAGCGATAATGGAGCCGAAGCGAATTGTTGTGTTTGCAGCTGCCTCACCTTGATTCGCCAGAGCTCTCTCAACGGCCATACTGAAAAAATTTGGATGTGAATTAAAAGGTTCAACTCATTATACTCCGTAATAGGCACGGGAAACAAAGTGTTAGCTGGCTTTTTTTTAGTTTCAAGAGAAAGAAGATTCACATGTTGACTCTGACAGAGTTTGGCCTTTCACGTTATCCCAATGTCCAATAAAGTTGTTCTGTCCCATCTGGTTTTGCAGACCATTAAATGTGCATTTAGCGTGTAATGTTTAGCTTCTCTTAAACCCGACCCGGCCCACATTATTGATGGTAGTTTAGGCGGGAAAAATGGCTTGCATTCCACTTGCTTTTGTATAGAGTAAGATTACTACTTTCTTGTAAAAATGGTGGCCTTCTTCAGGTGGTAAATGACGTGTGTTACACCAATGCCTTGAATATTATAGAGATTTTGCCAATTCCGTTTTCCCGATTATTGTGTAAGTGACACATTTGATACTCGACTTTTTTTTTTCATTTTTAGTTCTCAACTATTGTGTTAGAGACACTTCTTGTTATCGACTTCAAAGTTTCTCAAATAGTACTTGAGTATTAAAATCAACACATTTAGTCATTCCAGTATTGGGGCGGAGCCAGGCCAACAAAGAAGGTTGATCCGGATTCAAACTAAACTTCAAGACAAAAGTTTTAAGTAATAAATATAGTCATTAAATTAATTAAAGTCTATCACAAATGTTGCTACTCCAAAAACACATTCCATGCCCTGGTGGACTCTCTTCCAATCATCATATCTGGTGCCCACTAATGCAGAAGTGCGAGATGAATGCATATTATCATAAAAATGAAAGCATGGAAAACAATATGCCTGTATGTAGTCGGAGAGTACTCTAACCAATTAAACCCATTAAACCAACTTGATTGAAAGCGACGAATTTTATCTTTATATTCTCGACCCTTATACTTCTAAAGTTTAGGTCGATAAGGGCCAGATAGCAAATAGAATCGTCTGACTTCATCTATTCTGTCTAAAGGTCAATCAGATATTTTTTTCCTTTTCCCCGGATCTTTTTCAATCTCAACCGGAGTAAAGTCATTTGGAATTACCGGAGTAATCAGAACCAGAACTACTGGAGTAATCTCAACCGGAGTAGAAGACTGATTTTCAACATTACAAATATTTGGATTCTCGCTTGTACCTTCGCTTTGTACACTACTAACGGAAGTAACAGGTCTATAGAAAGAACGCAAAATGCCTTTGGTTTTCTTCGAAGGAGGCCGTTGAGTAGCCATAATTTTTTTCTACAATCAAAATATATTTAAAACACATTTAAAAAAATTAGATGATATTAAAAGACTTAAATTACATACAATTTAGTAATTTAGTTAGAAAACATTATTTATTTGTTCAACACAACAACAGATATAAACAAATCACATTACCTGATTAACCTAATAGAACATATTACATATACACATAATCACAGATTCACATTTTCACTAAATCACCAATTCACCTAAAATCACAAATTCAAATCAATTTATAACTAATGTAAATACACTGCAAAATCACAATACACTCAAGATACAATCTTGCATCAAAATATATTAAAAACTAACGAATATACAATATTACAATTCATGAGTTAGGGTTAGGAAATTAACCTCAATTTATTGCGAGATTTCAGAATGCACTGATTTTTCGGAAGACTCGGAGCTATATCAGCGTGTCTGGCTGTCCGCCATGTCCGCCGTGTCCGCAGTTGCAGGACCGCACTCCAGCATCGTTGAGTTCGTTCGCTCTCCGGCAGTCCGGCCTCTCCCTGTTGTTCGACCGCACTTCGTAACCCTTCATTGGACAGCAGTACCACACTATTGTTATTACTACCTCCGTCCCCCTGTTATTGTCCCATTGCGGTTTACGATGCTTGACTGAC